TGAGCAAAGTACTTGACTCAAAGACAGAGTGAACAGAGGAAGCAAGAGCAAGCTCTTATACCTCAAGGAAGCTAATTAAGCATGCGCAGATGCAAGAGCAGCTGTAGTTATTTGTCAATATTTGTAGTTTAGCAGTACCTGCTAATCAGGATATACTGATCCACAGGTATCCTGTTTGTATATTAACTTCTGTGGAAACAGAAAATTTCACAAACATCTTCTTTTCGCAGCACTGAGGGACTTTGCTAGGCACAATGCAGAGAGTGGACTCATTCCTTGGGCAATGAACAGTGGACAGTGAGGACATCTAGTGGCAATTGGAAGTGGTGGGGGCTCCAATGGCAGCAGGCTGTGGAATGACCAATGGCCCAGGCTCCAACAGAATGGACACTACCAGAAACCTTGGCAAAGTCAAGCCTACTGTAGCCTTTGCTTACTGTGATCTGCAACTGATGGAGTCCCTCCACATTGCTGCCATTATGGTATCCATTGGACAACTCTTTTGTAGGAAGGGCTCAGAGGACCCAGGGGGTGGCTGTTAGGAAGTGGCTTGCTTTCTAATGAGAGCAGGGAAGTGAGACTCAGTCCACTTGGGATAATGGAGGCCATCCCTGAGCTGAGGTCTCTAAAGGGACAAAGATTTGGTGTTTTACCCTCCATTTTCCAATGGGGTTCCTACAGAAGGGGAGGTTCCAACTATTGGGCTAGAGAGGGACCATTGAGTGAGTAGTGGTTCTTGTAGATCCTTTTAAGGGAGTTAGCTCGTGTGATAGGCTTCCTGCAAGAAAATAAGGGACTTTTAGTTCCCTTCCTCCAGAAAACTGCTACCTGTGATTAAGCAATACAAGTACATGCAGGATGGACTACTGCCAAGGAGGTTATAATTATGTTAAAGAGAAGTATGGATTGTCTAATATATTCTCCCATATAAGAGTACCTTTTTTAAGAATTTGGGTAAAAAAAAGAAAAGAAAAAAGGTAGGTAGCTTCGGATTTTCCAGCTAGATTTGTTTTTTAAAGACCATGCCTTTAACCTGATTCACTCTGGTTCTTATTGATTAGAAAATGATAGACCTCTGCCCAAGTACCACTTAATGGTTATTTTGTGGGCCCTCATGGCTCAGAGTGAATGCAAAAAGTAATTGTTTCTTTTTTGGCCAGCAACCCTGAGGGTCTTCCCCACCCAGTTATACACACACATACACACATACACACACGAATGTATGTATGTATGTATCCACTTGTCCTGATATATATCTGGCCATTGGACCCAGATATCTCTGGAGAACAAGTGAGGCTGGTGACTTTGCACGGCCCTTACTCAAATCCAGTTCAATTGCAAGTCATGTCATCATCATCCTGATATCATGGTCATCTTCAAAAAAAAAGAACAAACCACACAGGCATGCAAAACTTTAATCACATCTATAGAAAGAGTTCCTTGAAACATGTCTCTTCAGACAACAGGTGTTACTGGTTTCCTAGTGAAGAAACTATCTAATGATTTCCTCATTGACGTTTACCTAGTTTGAATCACCAGGAAGAAACTTACTAACATTTCATATGTATGATATATAATTTCTTTTTGCCTATGGGCATCTTTTTGTACACAAGAAATTCACACCTATTCTGTAATGTGTGTGTCCTTGATGCCACTGTCTAGAAACCACAACTGTCAACCAAGAGAAGCCATGGAGAAGACAGAAGTCACATGGAAAGGAGAAAGTAACTATAAGAACCAAAAGCCCGTGTCTTTGTCTATTGAGAAAGGAGAAAAACTTTATAAGTCATTGGGAAAGACTTTGCATTTGTTTTTCAAGCCAATTCCTGTAGAAGCAATATGAACATTACATTTTAATACTAGTTCACATGTTTTTTTTTCTTCAGAACTATCCCTAGTATCTTGTGTTTAGCAATTTGTCTTTTTGAAATGTTTCATTTCTCACTAACTTTTTTTTGACATATCAATTTAATAATAAAATTATTAACTGTGTTTAAATGTGTAGGCATTAATGGCAAGCCATTAAGAACCCACTCTGAAATTTGTGATCTTGCATTTACACACAGACACAAATACTTTTCATTCTAATTTTTTACCACTCTTTTACATTATGTGGTACAGGTCTTTCTATATTTCTGCAGATTCTTCATATTTATCATTCTTCATGTCAATGTATTGGAGGTATTGTGGAGTAGCACAATGGTCATCAATAAATGGGATGGTGAGAAGATAGAATTCTACCTTTGTAGAGATAGTCAATTGTCAGATTTGTCTCCAATACAACCACACTTACCCTTATTCTCCAACAACTCACACCATTCTGATCCATCTGCAGTGAAAGCTAACAACTTTCCTCCTTTCTAAGCTGTACGTCAGTGCTTCAGGGCTACCAGGAACCTACAACAGCATTTGTACAGGTGTCATGAAAATTCAACATTTGAAGCAGAGACACACACAAAGGAAAGGTAAGGAAGGAGCTAGAGCAGAATCTTTTGTGTGTCGGTTGAAGTAAAAAAAAAAGGCACGGATAGCAATCTCAATGTCAGACAAAGTAAAAGTGAAAATAGACCTAATTAAAAGAGGTAAGGAAGGAAACTACATCTTGCTAAAAGGCACCATACACAATGAAGTAATATCAATAGTAACCATAAATGCACCAAATGGCATAGCATTCAAAGTCTTAAAGGAAAAGTTAAATGAGTTACAGGAGGAATAGAAAAAAAAACTAAACTTGTAGGGGACCTCAACTGTCCCTTTTAAGAACTTGATAAACCCAAACAAAAAATAAACAAGAAATAAATTAAGGATGAAAATAGAATATTAGAAAAGTTAATTATAACAGACTTCTGGAGAAATCTGACTGGGAGCAGAAAGGAATATACATTTTTCTCAGCAACACATGGCATGTACACAAAAATTGACAATGCAATAGGACATAAAGCCTCAAAATCAAATGTAAAAAGGTAGAAATATCAAATCTATTCCATTAGGATGATAATGCAATAAAATTACATTCAAGAAAGGGCAGTGGAAGGATGAATTAAAAATTAATTGGAAACTAAATAATCTAATTCTAAAGAATAAGTGGGTCAAAGAACAAAGCACATAATCAATAATTTCATGCAAGAGAATGACAACTGTGAGCTAACATACTAAAATTTATGGGATTCAGCCAAGCAGTACTTAGGGGAAGTTTTCTTTCTTTAAATCCTTACATTTACAAAATGGAAAAATAGCATTTTGATTAATGGGGCATGCAACTAAAAAGAAAAAAAATGCAAAAATATCAAATCAAAATCTGCAACTGAGCACCAAATTGGAAATCCTGAAAATCAAATGTGAGATTAATATGATTGAAAGTTAAGGATAGCAAAGTAAAAGCAATGACTTGCTTGAGCTGTCCTCCAAACCCCTCCAAATAGCTGTAAAAATGGCTTTAAACAAATTCTTGAGCAGTGGAACCCACAAAAAGATAGAGTGAAACAAATTTCCAGCCCAAGACAACCTGGATGGTCAATTGGAAAGGTCTGTTGCACCAGGTTGGTAGAGGAGCACAGTTCAGTGTGGGCCGCACAAACAAAGATGGGGCCTCAGTGAACCTGGAGCAGACCTCAGGAGACTAAGTGAATGGGAGCTGTGGTGGTTTCCAGATTTCTCAACCCACAAACGCCAAAAATAACTCAGAAGGTCAGTAGGAAAGATCTGTGACCATGGTGAGAGAGGAGCTTGGTCCTGCACTAGTCCTGGCGCAATGCCAGGGTGGTGACTGCTTCCAGAGCTCTTGGCCTACAGAAAGAGGGGGGATCAAGTGCCTGATCAGAGGGGGATTGCAGGGATCTCTTTGCTGACACTGAGGCAAGATTCTGTTGCTTTGCTGGTGCTTGGATCTTGGTCACACTTCTGGGTGATGGTCCTGGGCGAGGAGGAGTGCAGGCATGGTGAATCTTGTGATGGCAGTGGAGAGAGAATCTTCTTCACAGTTCCAAGGCAGAAAAGAGTGCTTGTGATCACTCATAGACCAGAACAAAGGAGTAAACAACTCACCTTTGATCATACCACCTTGGAAGAACTGAAAATTTACAGATCCCTAGAAATATTTCTGAAAACAGCTGCACAAAACCCCTGAAGCTTGGGACAGTATAGTCACCAAACTGGAAGCAGTCAAATAATTGGCTGGGATCATGAGCGAACAGCACAAAAAAGTCAGGCCATAGAATATTTCTTTGGTGACAAAGAAGATTAAAACATACAACCAGAAGAAGACAACAAAGTCAAAACTACTACATTGAAAGCTTCCAAGAAAAATATGAATCAGTACCAGGCCATGGAAGAGCTCAAAAAGCATTTTGAGAAGCAAGTAAGTAGAGGAAAAAATTAGAGTGGTGCAAGAAAATCATGAAAAACAATTCAACAGCTTGATAAAGGAGACCCCAAAAAAATACTGAAGAAAATAACACCTTAAAAAATAGCCTAGAGGCGGAGCCAAGATGGCAGAGTGAAAGCAGTGACTTGCTTGAGCTCTCCCCCAAACTCCTCCAAATACCTATAAAAAATAGCTCTAAACAAATTCTAAAGCAGCAAAACTCACAAAAAGACAGAGTGAAGCAAATTTCCAGCCCGAGACAACCTGGATGATTGATAGGAAAGGTATATCATGCTGGGCTGGGAGAGGAGTGCAGTGCAGTGTGGGTACACAGGCCGCAGTGAACCTGGAGCAGGTCTCGGAGGACTGATTTGTGAGCAGTTGTGGTGGTTTCCAGACTCCCCACCCATGAATGCCAAAAAGAACTTAGAAGGTCAGTGGGAAAAGTCTGTTTCTTCGGTGAGAGAGGAGCTAGGTCTCAGAGCCAGTTCCAGAGCGCAGAGCCCAGAGCATGGGCACCAGGGCAGTGGCTGTGTCCTGAGCTACCCACAGTCTGAGGCAGAATCAAGTGGCTGATCAGAGAGGGATTGCAGGGGTCTCTTTGCCAGTGCTGAGGCCGGAATCTCTTGCTTTGCCTGTGCTTGGATCTTGATCACAGTTCTAGATGGCGGTCCTGGAGTGAGCAGGGGTGCTGGCATGGTGGAGCTTGTAGTGGCTGTAGAGAGAAAACCCTCCTCACAGTTCCCACGCAGAAAGGAGTGCGTGTGGTTACTAACAGACCAGAGCACAGGCCAGGAAAGAGTAAACACCTCGCCCCTTAACATACCACCTTGCAAGAACTGAAAATTTACAGGTCCCTACAAGTATCTCTGTTTGTTTTTTTTGTTTGTTTTTTTGTTTTTGCTAGGCAATGGGTTAAGTGACTTGCCCAGGGTCACACAGCTAGTAAGTGTTATGTATCTGAGGCTGGATTTGAACTCAGGTCCTCCTGAATCCAGGGCCGGTGCTCTATCCACTGAGTCACCTGGCTGTCCCCCTACAAGTATATCTGAAAAGAGCTATACAACGCCCCAAGCTTGGAACAGCACATTCTCCACATTGGAAGCAGACTCTTAACTTAACAAAGAGTTTAAAACTCAAATAATTGGCCGGGATCATGAGCAAGCAGCACAAAAAGAGTCAGACTATATTATCTTACTTTGGTGACAAAGAAGATCAAAACATATAACCAGACAACAACAAAGTCAAAGCTCCTACATCCAAAGCCTCCAAGAAAAATATGAATCAGTCCCAGGCCTTGAAAGAGCTCAAAAGGGATTTTGAGAAGCAAGTAAGGGAAGTAGAGGAAAAACTGGGAAGAAAAATGAGAGTGATGCAAGAAAATCATGAAAAACAAGTTAACAGCTTGCTAAAGGAGACCCAAAAAAAATACTGAAGAAAATAACACCTTAAAAAATAGCCTAACCAAAATGGCAAAAGAGGTCCAAAAAGCCAATGAGGAGAAGAATGCCCTAAAAAGCAAAATTGGACAAATGGAAAAGGCAGTCCAAAAGCTTACTGAAGAAAATACTTCCTTAAAAATTAGAATAGAGTAATTGGAAGCTAATGACTTTATGAGAAACCGACACTGTAAAACAAATCCAAAAGAATGAAAAAATAGAAGACAATGTGAAATACCTCATTAGGAAAACAACTTGACCTGGAAAATAGATCCAGGAGAGAGAATTTAAAAATTATTGGACTATCTGAAAGCCATGATCCAAAAAAGAGTCTAGACATCATCTTTCAAGAAATTATCAAGGAAAACTGCCCTGATATATTAGAACCAGAGGGCAAAATAGAAATTGAAAGAATCCACCGATTTCCTTCTGAAAGAGATCCCCAAAGGAAAACTCCTAGGAATATTATAGCCAAATTCCAGAGTTCCTAGGTCAAGGAGAAAATATTACAAGCTGCCAGAAAGAAACAGTTCAAGTATTGTGGAAACACAATCAGGATAACACAATATTTAGCAACTTTGACATTAATGGACTGGAAGGCTAGGAATATGATATTCCAGAGGGCAAAGGAGATAGGATTACAGCCAAGAATCACCTATCCAGCACAAACTGAGTATAATCCTTCAGGGGGAAAAAAGGACATTCATTGAAACAGAGGACTTTTCAAGTATTCTTTATGAAAAGACCAGAGCTGAATAGAAAATTCAAGTTTCAAATACAAGACTCAAGAGAAGCATGAAGAAGTAAACAGGAAAAAGAAATCATAAGGGACTTATTAAGGTTGAACTGTTTACATTCCTACATGGAAAGATGATCTTTGTAACTCACAAGACCTTTGTCAGTATTAGGGTAGTTGGAGGGGAAAAAAAGTTATATGTATAGATAGATTGGTAGATCGAGGGCACAGGGTGAGTTGAAGATGAAGGAGTGATATCTGGCAAATAAAATTAGGGAGTGAGAGAGATTATACTGGGAGAAGGAGAAAGGGAGAGGTATAATGTAAGTTATCTCACATAAAACAGACAAGAAAAGGCTTTTATGGTGGAGGGGAAGTGGGGGAAGGTGAGAGGGAAAGTGTGAATCTTATTCTCATAGGATTTGGCTTAAGGAGGGAATAAGATACACACTCCGTTGTATATGGAAAGCTATCTTACCCCTCAGAAAAAATAAGGGAGAAGGGAATAAGAGAGCAGGGGAATGATAGAGGGTAGGGTAGATTAGGGGAGGGGGTAATCAGAAGCAAATACTTCTGAGGAAGGACAGGGTCAAAAGAAAGAATAGAATAAATGGGGTGGTGGGATAGGATAAAGGGAAATATAGTTAGTTTTCCGCAGCATGACTACTATGGAAGTGTTTTGCATGATGACACAAGTATAACCTGTATTAAGTTGCTTGCCTTCTCAATGTGGGGGGGTGGGGATGGAGGAAGGGAGAAAATTTGGAACCCAAAATTTTAAAAACAAATGTTAAAAATTGTTTTTACATGCATCTGAGAAGTAAGATATACAGGCAATGGGGTTTAGAAATTTATCCTGCCCTACAGGAAAATAGAACAGGAAAGGGATAAGACAAAAGGGGAGAGATTAAAAGGAAGGCAGATTAGGGGAAAGGGTATTCAGAATGCACGCTGTCATGGGGTTGGGGGAAGGACAAGATGGGGAGAAAATTTGGAACTCAAAATCTTATGGAAGTGAATGTTGAAAACTAAAAATAATTAATCAATCTAAAAAATATAGGAAAAAACTAGTTGTTTCACTCTGCACCAAATCCATTTTAGAAAATCATTTTTAGGGGCAGCTAGGTGGCACAGTGGATAGAGCACCAGCCCTGAACTCAGGAGGACTTGAGTTCAAATCTGGCTTCAGACCAAACACTTGACACTTACTGGCAGTGTGACCCTGGGCAAGTCACAACCCCAATTGCCTAAAAATTATTTTTAAAAGAAAAAAATACAATATTTGATTTAATAAAGTTTTTTTTTATAGAAAGAGAAATGATGATAAGTTGAAGGACCTAAATGTGCAGTTTACAAATGGCAACCTTCAAGATATTTTGGAACATCCATTGTTGCACAGTTTTTTACCCAGCCTGGCCTGCAGAGAAAGAAGATAAAGCAATGAAAAAGTGATCAAAACTACATTTTGATAAATTTTCATTTTTGATATTCATGAATATGGAGATGTGGTAATACTTATGAATAGCAATTATCTATTTCAAAACAGAAAAAGAACTTAAAAATGGTCCTAAAATAAGTCTTAGCTTTCTAATTTTAAAAAAGAGGATTGGGCTATTGGATTATAAAAGTTTCTACTAAGTCTGAGACTTCTGTGATTCTTAGTTTTGTTTAAACCAATAAATAAATCCACTGTTCCATGATCTGACCAAACTAGACTATTTATTGTCTCCTATTCTTGTCCCAAAGTTTACCATCTCTGTGCTTTTGAAAATGGTATCTGCCAGGCACAGAATGGTCACTCACCTCTGCTCTGCTATTTTTACCAATAAAATCTCCCCTCTCCTTCAAGGCTTATCCCATATCACCTTATCCCTGAAGCATTTCAAGATCCACCCAAGGGAAAGTAATCTCTCCAAGTTTCAACTAATATTTTTTTTTCTGTATGTCTCCTTTATATCTAACACATTTTGCTTCTTTCATACATGTTTGAATACTTGTCTTTGCCTTCCTATTTGGTTGTAAGCTTCTTGGAGATAGAGTTTATCTCAAGCATCTAACACAATGCCATTGGTTATTGAAATGAATTTTATAAACTGTACATACCAAACACATTACCCAATGCTGAAGAAATCAACTCAAAACACATTAATAGTACGTGAAGGAGCATTCCTTCATCCTACCCAACACCAGTCTCTGTATTATAGACAGTACCAGAATCTTCCTATTTCCTCATGCTTTAAACCTAGGAGTGATTTCTAACTCCTCACTCCATCTCATTCCCCATTTCTAGTCATTTGCCAAGACATCCAATTTCCACTCTTGTAATATCTCTCCTGTGCATTCCCTAATCTCTTCTAACACTTCCACCATCCAGGTACAGGTTCTTATCACCTCACACCTGTATTATAACCTGCCTTTTGGTTGGTCTCCCTCCCATAAGTTTCTCCCCATTCCAGTCCATCATCCACTTAACTCTACTTATTTATTTATTTTAGGCAATTGGGGTAACGTGACTTGCCCAGGGTCACACAGCTAGTAAGTGTCAAGTGTTTGGTCTGAGGCTGGATTTGAACTTAGGTCCTCCTGACTTCAGGGCTGGTGCTCTATCCACTGCTCCACCTAGCTGCCCCTCTCCATTCCACTCTAAAAAGAACTTCCTAAAACACAAATCTTGTCTTGTCACCCCAATCCAGTCAACAACTCCAGTGTTTCCAAATTACTTCTAGGATTAAATATAAAATCCCCTATTGGTCATTTAAAGCCTTTTATAAGCTAAACCAAGCCCACCTTTCCAGTTTTATTATGGTCTTTACTGTACTCTACTATCCAGTGACATGGGCCTCCTAACAGTGCCTTGAACATGACACTCCATCCCTCAGCTGCACACATTTTCTCTGGCTCCCCCCCATACCAGGCACTTTCTCCTTCCTCATTTCTGCCTCCTGGCTTCTTTGACTTCCTTCAAGTCTCAGCTAAAGTCCAACTTTCTAAATACATTAGATAAATTGCATCTAAGATCTAGGTTGCATGAATCTAAATAATTCTTGGTGTGTGGGACTATTGACATGAGTTCCATAATGACTACTCATTGCCTATCAAACACCATTCAAACTCAGATTGGCTCACTATTCCTACCCAACTGGTGCCTCTCAATTCTTTCAGCCTTATCTCATTAGGACAACTTGCCACAAGTGGTACACTTCCAATCCTTCCTGTCCCCTGGACATATCCTGTTTCTGTCCTGCCCCAACTCTACCCAGACTATTCCTGATACATAGAAAGCTGCATTTCTAACCAGTTGATTCCATCAATCCTTACCTTAAAGTTCAGCTCAACCACTATTTCTATTTCAGTGAACTCCAGACTCAACAATAATTTCTCTCATCTATACTTGGTTTGCATCTCATTTATGGACAAAAAATAATGGACTTTATTTTATCTTTGAACACCCTCTCTCACCAAATCTGCCCAACACTGAAAGATATGAATTATTTATAGTGATTGAAAACGTACCATCTCTTAATGCCTTCTTCAGCTACAATCTTTTTCACACAGTTTACTGCTTTAACAAAGTTATCTCCCAGAAGTTCTGAAAGAGAAATGAATGTAGATATAAGCAAGTTTCAAGTTATTATTATCTAAAAGAACCAATCTGACTTGTTCAGGCAGAGAAACAATATTGTAAGATTATTCTACTAAATTTCAGATAAATGAGACTGCAGTAGAGAAAGGCTGTTCTCTGATTCATCTCCTTGCAGACTTAAGTGGAACACAGCACTTCAATCAAACTGACCAGAATTTCTATGTCACTTCAAGGTTTAGAAAGTGCTTTTCTCTCCATAACCATATGAAGCAGGCAGTTATCACTATTTTTCAGATGAGAAAATTGAGACTGAGAGAGAAGATGTGAATCATCCATAGTCAAAAACATAGCCAATGTTAATGTCAGGACTTAAAGCCAAGTGTCTTTACTCCAGGCCCAAGGGGGCAGGGTCCATGACAGCAAGTTGAGGGTCATCCATTAAAAAATCAGAAACAAAATCATTATGTTTTATTTCAAACTAAAAAAGGCAGTGAATTATTATTATTGTTACTACTATGTGGTTAAGTCATCCTTAAAACAAGCTAAGAGGAAATAAAGACTAGAGAGTTGTCAGACTAAAGTAACTTGTGCACAATCACTCAGCTGTCAGCTATGATAGATGAAGGATTTAAACCCAGGTCTTCCTGCCACCAATCCCTGACTTCTAATCAGTGCACCAATATGACTCACCACACAGAACAGCAGCTTGGAAAAACGTAACTTGTCTCACTGGTCACAGAAAACAGTCAGGGCTAGAAGCAGCATAGCTACATGCCTTAGGCAGAGATTCTGGAGCTGAAAGATCCAAGTTCAAATCTCATCTTGAACACTCCCTCCTCCCTATATGACCTTGGACAAATCCCTTGCTTTCTCTGGACCTCACTTTAACCATCTCTGAAGTACGTGTGTTGAATGGCCAAATGGAAAAGGAGGTCCAAAGGATGGCTTCTGAGATCTGTACATCTATGATTCTATAAGGTGGTAATGGGATCTGCTTCAACTGATGAAATTTCTGTTACAGGCATTCCCTAGCCTAAGGGCATGTATGGTGGAAGCTCCTTAAGTAGCTACCTAAAATGAAAAGAGAATTTGAAGGATTGTGTCCATTTTTTCTGATGGATTCATTCCAGTCAAAAGGAGTAAGGAATGATACTCTCCTAAGAAGAGATATCCTGTTTTGGCTTGGGAATGATGAGACAGGAATGCAAAAGTTAATTAGAAACTAGGACTCTCTTATTAGCCTTCTGAAGCTTCTTCCCTTCTATAAGTCATTAATTTGCATAACTATCTACCTTGTTGAGCAGTGTCATTGGGCCCTAAATCCATTAGGTTGCTCTTACCTGAGCAATTGACTCCACACCTATTCAATGTATTTGGTGTCTTGCCGTCATCACACCAGAAGTGACTGTTGATCTGAAATATCCCATAATTAGTGCTTTTATCATCAGGGTTGTAGTGTATGGCTGTGGTGTTCAAATTGCTCAATGTCTCTGCTAAACACGCCCCTGTGAAGAATTTATTTAATAGTGATTACTTCATATTCAATCATATTCATCCAGAAAAACCAATACACTTGGATTGATATGATCCTCCTTTATCACTGATATCCTCCCAGTCCCCCACCCCATATTCTTCCATTTGTCCCCCACCCCATATTCTTCCATTTGTTGACATTGACATCTTTGCTCTACCTTAAACAAGTCTTCTGGCTCCGGAATGATTGTTTTTTACTATCTGTCATGCATGCCAGCAAGAGAAGTCATGTACTATGACCCAGTAGAATTTATACCAGAAATGCAGGGCTGGTTCAATATTAGGAAAACTCTCTGCATAATTCTGGAGAATAATTTGGAATTTTACTCTCAAAGCTATTGGACAGAGACAGGAGATGTTTTCTCCAGCTTGTGTTCTTTAACACTGGAGTGCAGGAGCACTCCCTATGTGCTGTACACTAAGGCAGAAGGGTCTCGTTGGCCAGAATTTCTGGCTCTTGTCAAAAAATCCTGAACTCTCTTCTAAGAGAGGCCAACTTCTCTACATGGAGGGAATGCCCTCCAATTCAGGAAACTTGTAAGACTTCAGTGAGTGTTGAAGGGGAGGAGGTTGGAATGGGTGGGGAATAGGAGTATGGCTGAGGACCTAAACTAAAATTTGAACTCAGATTATGTGAATCCACAGGAAAATAAACATGCTAATTTGGTATAATGGTTAGGAAGGAGATATTAGGTGAAATTTTACGTTAAATAAGGCTTGAATTCCCCATCCCCACCCTTAACTTCTTACTCATGAAAATTTGGCTTCTGGGTCATCCTGGTGTTTCAATTTTTGGGTGTTAATATAATTTAATAATCTTAGAATGCATGGAAGGACTTGCACGAAATGGTAAAGAGTGTTGAAGTGGAGGAAGTTGGTATTGGTGGGGCATATGAGTATGGTTAAGGATCTAACATAAAATTTGAACTCAGATTATGCAAACCCATAGAGAAATGAACATGCTAATTTAGTACAATGGCTTAGAAGGAGATATTAGATCAAATTTTAAATTAAATAAGGCTTGAATTCCCTATCTCCACCCCTAACATCTTGCTGTGAAAATTTGGCTTCTGGGTTATCCTGGTAATATTTTCAAACTGAAAATTTTTGTTTCAAATTATATTAAAACCTAAAAATTGAAAATATAAGAACAAATTGTGCATTCCTTTCTAACTGTCATCCCCAGTCTTAGCCCTCCCCTTCTAGTGTCTGTCAAGATCCACAGGAAAACAGACTTACAGCTAGCCAGGACGGCATCATGGAGTGCATCCACACGTAGTTGATTCATTGTTTTGAAAAATTCACATCTTTCCATTTTCTTACCATGGACAGCCATAGTGAGGAAGATGAACCCCAGAAGAAGGAGTACTTTCATGTTGACTGTGTAGTCAAAATGTTTAGGCTGAGATGTGCCTCAGTATTTAACTTCTCTCTTAAATTCCTCTTCCTTGCTGTTTGAGAGCTCCACACCCTAGCTATGTGGAAATCAATATTGATTTATGGCCACATTTTCCAGTTCCCCTGAAGGCAGGAGACCTAGTATATGGCATGGCATGGTAACTTTCCCTCTTTCCTAAAGTCCAATTAGGGTGAGTAGAGGGGAGATAGCTTCTACTTTCCTAATGTTATATCAGACTTACCCAACATTAATGCAGCTGATTTCCCAGTGAATAAAAGGGTAACATGGGAAAATTGGGCTCAGATAATAGGCTAAAATCCACCTTCTTCAAAGCTAATGCCAATTCAAAATCAGAGGATCACAGAAACCTTTATCAGGTGAAAGTCAAGGATAATCATGTTCCACATATATAAAACACAGGAGAGTCAAAGAATCACAGAACTACAGAGCTGAAATGGAGTTCAACCCAACCTATGTTCAAGTGCAATCTTCTCTGCAATACAAGTGATGAGTAGTAATACAACCTCTGCTAGAATCCAAAATCAATTTACATTTTAAACAACTTTGAAATTTTTGTTTACTTCATCTGAGATAACATAATCTATGTGAAGCAATTCATGAAGTTTAAATCACTATAAATATAGTTATTACAATTACTCATGGAGAGGAAGAGAAGCATGGATGTTGTAAAATAGTAAATCAATTAATAAGTACTATATATTTGGTGTTGAAATATTTATATTTATAATCGATAAATATTATATTTATAATTATACTTATAATAGATAAATATTAGAATTAGGGTCACCAGGAAGGGATAGATTAAATTTTTCGGCCTCTGTGGTGATAGCAGAGGTAGGAGCAAGGGGTGTAAATCACAAATGATAGAATTCAGTCAATATGAGGTTAAGGTAGCAACAGTGCCTGGGCTTTAGCTGGATACTTGTTGACTGACTGGCTAAGACATTGTCAGAAAGTAATGATTTCTCAGGCAGCTAGGTGGTACAATGGATAGAGTGCTAGGCCTGGAGTCAAGGAGGCTCATTTTCCTAAGTTCAAATCTGGCCTCACACATATACTAGATGCGTGACTTTGTGCATGTCACTTCATTCTTTTGCTCAATTTGTTCATTGTAAAGTGAGCTGAAGAAGGAAATGGCAAACCACTCCACTATCTTTGCCAAGAAAACTCCAAAAGGGGATCACCAAGAGTCAGACACAACTGAAATGAGTGAAAAACAAGAATGATTTCTCAATAGCTGAAGGCCTTGCCAGCAGAGGCTGCATGACCATTTCTCAGGAATATTTTTGAAGAAAAGGGAAGGTGTTCAGGTACAGGTCCCTTCTGAGGTCCCTTCCAGTTCTGAGGTTCCCAATAGCTTGATCATGATCAAGCTCATATCTCTTTATGGTGTTCATAAGGACAGCATGAAGCACTTTGTCAAATGCATTCCCTAAATTCCTAAACTCTACGGATGTGCAAAGACAAACCAACCAAAAACTGAGGCTAATTAGTATGAATTGCTCTTAGTGAACTGATGATGAGTCCTAGCCATTGCCATTTCCTTTTCTGAGTGCTCACAAACCATCATTTCAATGCTCTGTTCTAAAATATGGGGATGAGGATACAAGGTATAAGAATACTGGAAAGCCGGGAAGAGGAGACCATGAAGGTATTTGAACACCAAACAGAGGACTATTTATGTTTTTAAAAGATAGATGTATATAGGAAAACAAAGTTCATCACTGGGCAAAAAATACAAAATTGTAAGGAAAAAAATAGTTCCTTGAAAACTAGAATTTGGCAAGAGGAATCAAATTATATTAGAAGGCACCAACAACTAATAAAAGTACAAAACAGAAAAGAATCAGAAACATTTCATTAAAAACATAACTGATCTGCAGAACAGATCATGGAGAGACAATATAGAATTATCAGACTACCTGAATATTATGACCTAAAAAAGAATCTGGAGAGAATATTACAAGAAATTATTCAGGAAAATTGCCCTAAGTTCTAAGTTCTAAGAAGAAGAGGGCAAAGTAGAAATAGACAAAATCTACCTTTCACTACCTGAAAGAGATATTGAATGAAAACTAAGAAGAATTCCACAGCCAAGCCTCAAATCTCCCAGGTTAAGGAGAAAACGTGGCAAGCAACAAGAAAAAAAGCAATTTAAATACTGTGGAAATACATTCAGGATTTCACAAGGCACAGCAGTTACTACACTTGTATTTTGAAAAGCAAAAGAGCCAGAGTTGTGTCCAAGAATAAATTATTTAGGAAAGTTGAATATAATTCAAGTAGAAAAAAAGGACATTTGACAAACTGAAAGCCTTACAAATATTTGTAACAAAAAACCCAGAACTCAGTGGAAAATTCTATATAAAAGATCCAGAAGAAATTAAAGGGAAATATTAAAGACTGAAGGTAGGACACTCATCAAGGTAAAATTGTTTACTTATTATATATACATATATATGTGTATATGTATATATATATATATACATATATATATATATACATATACACATATATATATATATAAGCAGTATTTTTAAACAATTTTTAAATTCATTTTTTAAAACTTTGAGTTCCAAGTTATCTCCCTTCCTCCCTCCCCAATCGCTATTCAATATAGGTTATACATGTGTAATCATGTAAAAGATTTCCCTAATAGTCACATTGTGAAAGAAAATATAGAGTAAAAAACTCAAAAAAAAAATAAAGTAAAAAAGTCTGCCTCAATCCATATTCAGACACCATGAGTTGTTCCCTGGAGATGGACAGCAGTTTTCATCCTAAGTCCTTCAGAGTTGTCTTCAATCATTGTATTGCTGAGAACAGCTAAGACTTCAGTCATTTACAGATGATCATCTTACAGTATTGCCATTAGTTTGTACATAGTACATGTCACTTGGCATCAACTCAAGCAAGTCTCTCCAGGCTTTTCTGAGAAGATCCTGCTCATCATTTCCCACAGCACATTAGTACTCCATCAAAATCACGTACTAAACTTGTTCAGCTATTCCCCAATTGATGGGCACCCACTCAGTGTACAATTTTTTGCAACAAGAAAAGAGCTGCTATATATATTTTTGTACATAAAAGGCCTTTTCCTTTTTGTTTTTTTCCCCTCTTTTGGGATACAGACCTAGAAGTGCTATTGCTAAGTTAAAGGGTGTATATATAGGTGGTTTTATAGCCCTTCAAACATATTTCCAAATTACTCTACAAAATGAATGTGAATCAGTTCACAACTCCATGAACAGTGCATTAGTGTCTCATTTTTCCCACATCCCCTCCACCATTTGTCATTTTTCTTTTCTGTTTTATTAGCCAATCTTGTTATCAGTATTCTTACAACTGTCATCATCATTAATGCAGTTTCAAAAAAGGTTAAGGATGAGTTGTGTATGATGAGGTGATTCTAAAACACAAAATAGTGTAGGAAAATGTAAAAGGGAGCAATTACATTATAAAAATGGGGTGTGAAAGGGAGAACTAACATGGAAGAACCAGATGGGGGTATAGGGCATGTAATGTTGGAACTTGACTCTCATCAAGCTTGAAGAGGAAATAATGTGTACGTCTGGAGGAATGAAGACGTTTTATAAACATGTAGGTGAGAAAGCTGGGGGACAGAGTTAGGAAGAAACTTTTAGAGGAGTGCATGGATTAGGATTTGGGAAGTTGTAGGGAGAAGATGGAGGAGGGACTTTTGGAGGGGTGAGTGCATTGGGACTGAAAGGGCGGAAGAGTGGGTAGGGGACACTCTTGAATGGGTGAGTGGGATGGGAAGTGGAAGGGTGAGGAAGAAGACAAGGTAACAGGGTTAGGGTAAAAGGAGAAACTGAGAAAGAAAACAGTGAATGAAAATAAGATGGAGGGAAATTCACAAAGAATAATTATAACTTTGAACATGAATGGGATGTTTATAGTAGCTCTCTTTTTAGTAGCAAAGAGCTGGAAATTGCAGAGATCCCTATCAGTTGAGGAATGGCTGAACAAGTTGTGGTGTATGGTTGTGATGGAGTAATACTGTGCTAATACTAAACTCAGTGATCTTAGAAAGCATAGAAGGACTTGCATGAAATGGTAAAAAGCAAAGTGAGCAGAACTAAAACATTATGTACAGTAATAGCAGTATTGTTTTAAAAATGACTTTAAGCAACTGTCATTTTGACTATTATAAATATACAAATGAAAATAAAGGCTATATGAAGAAACATCTGCATGCAGAGAAAGAATCAATAAATAGAAGTATGTATAGAAAAAAATGTACATACACACACATACACATACACCTATTTTTGTCTAATGGTAGCCATCTCTAGGATGGGGGCAGGTGAGGGGGAAAAAAAGGAAAAAGAAAAAGAGAAGAGATTTACATGATAACTTTTGTATATATTTAAAAGAAATAGCAAGTTTTACATAATAGCTTGGCAATTGCATGAGCAATATCTTTTTATTATACTGTGTTATGAAAATTCCTGTTTTATTCAATAAATTAATAATTTTTAAAAGATAGATATAAAACCCAGAAACCAGAGGTAGAATTGAAGGAGCAATATAATGTCATGGATTGCATCTGTAAAATTGTTGTCAAAAGTGCAAATCACTGAAGCTCAGAGGGAGTTAAGTGGGGTTATATAAGTGCAACAAAAGTGGCTTTAAAAACAGTATGCCACTTCTGCACACACAAGCAGGGCGGTTCTCTGAAGGCCAGCCTTGTGATGCTTAGTACATTGGCCAAGAGACTTTGGAGCCTGTGACATTGGAAATAGTATTTATGAGGAATATGAGACTTCAGGCTTCAGAGAAGCAGGGATTCCAGCCAAGACCCCACATGGAGATTATGTAGACCTAGGTCCTTATCCCATCTCCTACTTGCCAACACCAAGTTGGAAGGAAAAAAGTCTTTTTTTTTTTTGTCTTTGTACTACTCTCAGCACCAATATCTATTCTAATTGGTT